TCATTTTATTCATTTTAATTTCGTTTTTTATTTTTTGTCTGTACTCCCCCTTCCCTGATTTGATCTGTTAGCCGCCCTGAGTCCCCTTCGGGGGGGAAAAGGGTGGCATATAAATATAATAAAATGAAATTAAAATGAATAAAATGAGGATGCTTCAGAGAGTATGAAAAATAAGTTGCGATATTCCTACTTTCACCCTCTTCTTCCTTTTGCTGCAAACAATAACTTCATTTTATGATTTGTAATTTGTAAATAAAACTTTTAAAACATACACTCCATAAACATTCTATTTTTCCACTGCTAAGTTCTCATTCATAATCAGAAATCAGAGAGGCTACCCTACCACATTGATGACTTGACAGTTCCTTCACTGATTCAGATGGGCACCATCCCACATCTGAATAACTCTTGAGGTGCACAAGAACAAAATCACGATGGACTCTAATGGGGGAAAGTCGCGTGTCATGTGATGACGTGACAACGTGAATTTGACACCCCTGTTCTAGAGCATAGAAAGAGGACTATTTTAGTAGTAATATATATCATAATGATTGAATTGCCTTAGATCCCTGTTGCTTTTCATTTGTGTATCAATGCCTAATTTAAAATTTGCAGGGTGGATAGCAAAGAACTGAAACATTAAGAGAGACAGCCAGGGCTAACTCTTAAAAAAAAAGTCTTGAATTTTTTCTTGAAAATATTGCCTTTAATAAATAAACGTTGAAATAATATTTATTAAGGAATTGACCCTAAAAACATACGTACTGCATCAGAATGATATAACCCAACCAGCCTTTGTTAGTTTCTGAAAGTTTCTTTGCATAAACCATTCATTTTCTCATATCTAAGCCAAGAATTCATATTTATTTGTGATTTACATCTAGTTCTTTTTATTCACTCATCTTTTTTCTTTATAATGGTAAAATAAAGAGAGAGAAAGAATATCAGCAATGAACAAGTCATGATTGCATTGCTCATTTAAAAGATTTCCTTTGGTTTATTCAGAAAACTATGGCTTAAATACATCCTTATTTAGTTTAAGAAATTTTTGATTAGATTGAGTAGATTAGATTGATCAGAAGATTAGTCTTGTCTATCATCTGTCTGTCTGTCATCTATCTATCTATCTATCTATCTATCTATCTATCTATCTATCTATCTATCTATCTATCTATCTCTATCTCTCAATTCTCTCTCTCTCTCTCCTTATCTACCTATCTCTCCCTATCTACCTCTCTATATCTATCTATCTGTCTGTCTATCATCTAACTATATATGTCTATCATATATATCTATTTATCTATCATCTATCTATCTATCTATCTATCTATCTATCTATCTATCTATCTATCTCTATCTCTCAATTCTCTCTCTCTCTCTCCTTATCTACCTATCTCTCCCTATCTACCTCTCTATATCTATCTATCTGTCTGTCTATCATCTAACTATATATGTCTATCATATATATCTATTTATCTATCATCTATCTATCTATCTATCTATCTATCTATCTATCTATCTATCTATCTATCTATCTATCTCTTATTTATTTACTTATTTAGAACAATATTGAATATGTATCAATATATAAACTTTTGAGATTTTAGCTGGCGTATCATTATAAAAATTTAAATTACCTTTTATCAATAACTGAGTTATGGCATGAACTGTGTTTGAAATATTTCAAATGCCCTTTTGAATTGCTGAACTTTGTTCTCCTAAGCTCTTTTCCATAACTCTCCCTTTTTACCTTTCACAGGCTAAATTAAAGTCACACATCCAGAATCCCAGTGCACCTGAACTGATTCACTTTCTGTTTACCCCTCTAAATATGGTAAGTCTGAAATATTATTTAATATCTAGGGACTCAGTTTATTTCTCTGTGTGCATCACAGCCTAATCCATGATGAATTTGCAGTGTTGAATGCAGAGGGTGTACATGGAAATAAAAACCTTATTTTTTATTGGCTTCCTTAAAGCTAGCTTACTCCACATTGAAATAAAAAAAAAGTCTCATCTGTTTTTAAACACCTCGATGGTATTTTAGTCAATTTTACCAATTCCAAGGGTTTTCTTTGGCCCAGAATCAAGAAGGAGCTCAACATTTTAAGCTTACATTTCAAAACTTAAAACTCAAAACTCACATTTAATCTACAGAGTTTAATCTACCGAGTACAAGTAATCCTCAATTTTTAGAATTTTAATCCTAAATCAAAACATTCCATATGCCTGGAATTTTGGTCATGGGTCGTAGTGGTAAGTCAAGTCACCACATGGTCGGATTCAATTTCACAACCATTTTTACATTGGTCTTTAAGCAAGTTGCTTTGGTCTTTAAGCAAATCATGTGGTTGTTAATTAAATCCTATGGTTGTAAGTCGAAATCTAACATCCAATGGGTATTTTTTGTCAGAAAACAGCAAAAAAGTGTAAAATGCAATCACATGATCACAGGATTCATATTGGTCATGCATGCAAATAGGTTGCTAAGTGTTTGAAATGCAATCACCTGACCACAGGGGGTGTGTGGCAGTTGTAACTTTGAGGACCTGCTGTAAATAAAACTTTTTTTTTACTTTGTCCTAACTTTGAACAGTCCGTTGAATGACCAGTCATACATTGAGAATTACCTGTATGCATGTCTATGGAGATTCTCAGTCATCCAGGCCATGGTTTTCCCATTGGTGCTTTTTCAAGAGGCAACTGGACTTTCTGGTTTTTCTTTGAAGAAGTTTCACTTCTCATCCAAGAAGCTTCTTCAGGTTCTTCTTCATTTCTGAAGAAGCTTCTTGGATGAGAAGCCAAACGTCTTCAAAGAAAAACAGAGAAAGTCCAGTTGCTTTTTGCAAAAACACCTTTGAGGAAACCTGTATACAAGGCAAAGGATCTTGTCCCTTTTAAAATAAACAAGAGCAAAAACTCCAATCCTCATATACATAAATTTTGAAAGGAAAACCAGGAATAGAATAGAATTTTTTATTGGACAAGTATGATTGGACACACAAGGAATTTGTCTTTGGTGCATATGCTCTCATTGTACATAAAAAGGCAAAATACATTTGTCAAGAATCATAAGGTACAACACTTAATCATATTAGAAAACAATCAATATAAATCGTAAGGATACAAGCACAAAGCTACAGTCATACAGTCATTAGTGGGAGGAGATGGTCTTAATTACCCAACTACCTCTGCTAAATAACAGGGCATACCACTACTGGCTTTATTCTGTAAGCAACCACATTACTTATACAATAGCAGAGTTGGAAGGGACCTTAGAGGTCTTCTAATCCAACCTCCTGCCTAGGCAGGAAACCCTATACAGTTTCAGACAAATGGCTATCCA